AAATAAGAGGGCTGCAAAGGAGAAAGCCTTTGTTATCAAAAACAGGGTATCTGTGAAGGACACTCCCAGTTTGCCAGCAGGAATTTTTTTATTGTTCTTCATTATCACTGCTGGCAATGGCTGCAGTAGCTTTCATGGGTTTGACTTCCACATGAACCATAAATACATGAGGAAATATCAGAGGAAATGCTGAAGTGTTGCAATGGAGTTATAGAGGAAATCTCAACAGTAGGTTAGGTGGATCAATTCTGCTTAATTTAAAATCTACAATTAAACATTTAAATATTTCTTCCTTTTAATCCCCTTATATCCAGTGGAAAGAAATGCACAACCTGAGAGGGCCATTCACATGCCTTGTGGTAGATAAGTATCTTAGAACGAGTTGAATCAGCCTCCCAAGGTGCCTGATGATTTCCATTGACTGCAAAGGAAGCTGAAGGTGACTGGCAGTCAACTTCAAATGCTGAAACAGGACGGATAAATTCCCCCCTTAGAGACAGAGATAAGCATCTTTTAAAAAAGTCGGTATCATGTTAATTAACATGATGTTCTCAAAAGGATTGGAGCCCTTGGCCAGTGGTGTCTCCAGAGAGGGCCAGTTGAGAAGTGAGAGGAGCTTATGGGCATGGATGATTCCTGGCTCCTGCCAGATGTGCTGGCCTGGTTTTGAAGGGTGATTTTCTAAGAGCTGCAACTCCAGGAGCTCCAAGAGTGCTAGAGGGTAATGATCAAGGAGGAAGATTAGAGGTGGGGTGGAAGCTGACTATTTGGGTTCAGAAAGGAGTGATTTAGACTTCAGTTGGTTTACAGATTGAGTAATGCTCTTGGGTGTAGAACAAGGCCTAGGAGTGGAAAGGTCTGGTGGTATTTAGTAGCTGTAATAGCAAATCTGCCTTAAGTAGAACGGTTTTGCAGTTGTGTCTAGGAGCAGAACTAAAAACTTTGTAGAAATCTTGGTTAGGATGATGGCTGGTGTCATTTGAAGATAGTGGACTACATTGATTTTGGCAGTGCTTTGGTATTGTGCCTACAGCACCAATTTGGGTTAGGCAGCACTTACGTTGCAGACAGTAGAGATGTGCAAGTTTGATGTAGAATAGGATCCTACAGCCCACCCTTATAGTCCAAGCCCTCTGTCAGTATATCCTATACCCTGAACCTGCCGTAATGCTGACATACTGTGGATTGGAGCTTCAAATTAATCTACATGGTTTCATAGAAACCACTGTCTCCTACAAATATCATCTGTCATCCTGCCTCTGGTGGGTAGATTCTCCAAGCTGTGCCATAGGACAGGGGCTCATGTTGAGTTAGGGATGAGGTTTGGGGCATGGTATGGGGGATAGGAGGTCTAGGGTTACTGCTGGATGGAAAGGGGTCTGTGAAGCGGTGGTATGGGACGTGTGGTCAGGACAGACTGCTGAAAGTGAGAGAGCGAGAGTGCTCAGGAGAGAAAACAATTCTGGTATGGGAAATGGCAAATTACTGCATTTTCTGTGAATACAAAGGACTGGGAAAGGCAGATGCAGATATGGAGGGCAAGCTGTTTCAGGGGTGTATGCATCTCTGGGTGCTGCAAGTGAAGGAAGCCATTAATGTGTGAGAAGAGAAGAGAAACCCTTTTGAACATATGGAAACATAACACCCAGCAGGAAAATAACATTTTCTTTTAACAGCCATGTGGCAAATTAATCTCTCCAAACTTGTAGCTTTATTTTACAGTATTTGTTATGGTCAGAGAGGCTGAGGAAGATAATTCAGTAGTGTGCTGTGTTCAGTGTGGAGGAGTGTGCCAAAAGCCGAGGATTGTCGGGCAGGGGAAGGAGATGTAACAGCCCGCCACCCCAAACAAAGGTGTGCTTGCCGGTCCTTTTAGCCAATCTACTTCTGAACTCCCATCGGTGTCTGCAACAGGGCAGTGCAGGTGTAGATATTGAATTTTGCCATTGCTCACAGTACCAATAACCTTGGTGCACTGCTTTGGGCCAGCTGCCAAGGTGTGGTGCAGGTACAAGGGGCAGGCCCATCTTCCTGCTCTGCCAGCTGCTATTTCCTGTCTTGGGAAGGATGATGAGTGTGTTCTGTTTGGTCACCTGTCAGCAACAGACCTTCGTTAAGTGGTTTAATTGCAAAGAATTAAGGCAGAGCTTTGTCTGTAGCTGCAGTGGACAATTGAGTAATACTGTTCTTCAGTTTAACTGGTGGAAAAGTGGCTACTGCTGCAAATACTTGTCTAGAGATTTTATTTTCTACATGTATCAAGGCAAATAGGCTAAACTGCTCCCCTGTTAAAGGAAGAAATGTAGCAGGCCTGAGGTTTAATCGAGTGCAGTTTTTGGTTGGTTTTTTTTTGACAGTGGGATTGAGTGCACCGTCAGCAAGTTCGCTGATGATACCAAGCCGGGGTGAGGTTAATGTCCCAGAGGGAAGGGATGCCATCCAGAGGGACCTGAAGAAGTGAGCCCAGGTGAACCTCATGAGGTTCAACAAGGCCAAGTGCAGGGTCCTGCACCTGGGTCAGAAAAATCCTCATTACCAATACAGGCTAGGAGATGATGTGCTGGAAAGCAGCCCTGAGGAAAAGGACTTGGGCGTGCTGGTGGATGAGAAGCTGGATATGAGCCACTAATGTGCATCTGTAGCCCAGAAGGCCAATCACATCTTGGGCTGCATCACAAGAAGTGTGGCCAGCAGATCAAGGGAGGTGATTCTGCCCCTCTGCTCTGGTGAGACCTCGCCTGGAATACTGTGTCCAGCTTTGGAGTCCCCAACAAAAAAAGGACATTGAAGAGCTGGAGCAGGTCCAGAGGAGGGCCACAAAAATGATCAAAGTGCTGAAGCACCTCTTCTATGAGGACAGGCTGAGAGAGTTGGGGTTGTTCAGCCTGGAGAAGAGAAGGCTCCGGGGGTCCTTATAGCAACTTTCAGTACTGGAAAGGTGCCTATAAGAAAACTGGGGAAGAGCTGTTCACTAGGGCATGTAGTGATAGGACATGGGGTCATGATTTTAAACTAGAAAAAGGTAGATTTGGGTTGGATATTAGGAAAACGTTTTTCAGTCTGAGGGTGGTAAATCACTGGAACAGGTTGCCCAGAGAGTTGGTGGAGGGCCCATCTCTAGAGATATTCAAGGTCAGGCTTGATGGAGCTATGAGCAACCTGATCTAGTAACACTGTCCCTGCTCACTGCAGGGAGGTTGGACTGGATGAGCTTTAAAGGTCCTTTCCAACCCAGTACATTCTATGATTTTTGAAGACGGCTGCCTCTTGCTGATGGGGATGATGCTGTGATGTTTTGGAAACTTAGAACTTAGAGAACAAAGTATGTTTTGACCGCAGCTGAGTGCAAAAGTGTTCCAAGATGGGAAGCCTGTTAAGGTGAGGAGTTGGCACTGAGTGGCAGACACACAAACTTCTGAATTCAAGCAGAACATTTCCATTTAATTGCGATCTCCAAAATTGCTTTGGTCAGTACAACGACTTAAACATATCAACATAAGGCTCAAGATTACAATAAAGCATTTCACATGAAAACACTTTAAGCAGCATAACATGCTTAGTATTTGACAAAACATCTTCCAAATATCTGTACAGAATTAGTTTGATAAACAGTGTTTCTGGAACAAGATCTAACCCTTACAACATAAAACACAGAACTCCTTTTTGTCAGTGGTTAACAACTGGTTTCAGTGATGTGTTTTCCATTAAAACTCTAGGAACAAATTATTTTCAAAGGATGCAAGACCAGGATATGTTTCTATATAACCTAAACTTTTAAATGAAGATTCTGCTTCCATGATTTTGTACATTTACTTGATGGAGTATCAGATTACACAGTCATAAAATTCTAGTTACTATTTAAAGTAAAATGATAAATGTTATGAAAAAATACCTTTATTACATCAGTGATGATTTAACTAAAGTGAGTATTAAGACTATTGACCAGGGGTTGAAAGTTTTAGGCCCTGATATTGAAAGCACTTCTATACATCCTTAACTTTACATGTACGGAGTCTCCCTGGCAGCAGGGGTGGACTCTGATGGGCGCTGTTAAGTGTGTGCCTAAGTGTGCGCAGAATGTGGGCCAAAGTACTCAGAGAGGCACAGATGTGTTATACAGAGAAACATTCTCAGCACATAAATAAAATCTGGCTTTTTAGTATGTACATATACTGAAAATGAATATTCTTAAGAGAAAGGATGTGTTTTTTCTCTCTTAATAGCGCATATATACCCATATCACTCAGAAAGTGCTTATGTATTCCCAGCTAGAGAAATGCATCATCAGCTGTGAATCTAGCATGGACAACAAATATAAACCAAGAATGTCTTATCAGCAAGAAAT